CCGATTATCGAAAGGTCACCTAAAATAGCAAACATTGGAGGACATGGAGCATAATCTAGGAGAGGAAAAGGATGCCCAGCTTAAAAAGCTAAGAGAGGAAAGGGGATCATGAAACAAGATATGTTGAATCAATCAATAGAGCTAGAGGCCACTAAGGAGCAAGTTGGAAATTTGAGGAAAGAACTGACTGAAGAGGTGAAGGAACACAGAGGACTGCGTGCGGAGATGGATAAGCTAGAAGAAGTCATAAGAAATGAATCCAACAAACAGGTACTTCATACAAATAATTATATCTTAATTTGATCATTTGAATTGTAATTATTGTATTGTGAGTAGTATCAGATTATTTGTATAAATTCAAAGTAGTTGATTACACAATAAACATGGAAAAATCTCTTGGTTAGTGGAATTGTATGAATTCAAAAGTACTTGGTTACACCATATACATGCAGTCCATAAATCTCGCAGTAATTAATCATGATCATTTGTTCTAGGATCTGGTTACAGCATATACATTCTCAGAGAATAATGAATTAGATCAACCAAGAACTGCAAAAATTGAATGGGTGCCTGAAACGGAGAGCAACTCTGCAAAAATCATGGAATACACTGTAGTAGAGTATGACTAGAACGACTTCCACAAACATTACATTAAGATTAGTTCGGTATTCAGTCATCCCACTTCCATAAACTATGTCTACAATTTCTTCCACGTTTGGTAAAATCCTATTTCATTTTTACCAAACCCTATTTCATTTTCTTACCCATATTGTTTCCAACAAAATCTTTTGTTGGTCGTGGTTTTGTACTTTTCTGTTTCTCTAAGATTCAAATGGGTCTATTTGTCCTGTAAAATTCAAATAGGACTAGTTCTTTTTCAATTCACGAACTTATCTGTAAAATTTAATGACACTAGCTTCTCCAGTAGAAGTCAATTGCGGCTAGTTCTCTTTTATTAATTATTTCCATTTGCAGCATCTTAGTTTTTTTTTTTTTTTAATTCACAGACTTTTCAATAAAATTGATATGACAATGTTTTTTTTTTTTATTATTATCAATATTTACACTAATGTTGCATTTGCAACTTCAATGGGATAACCTGCTCCCATAAGTCTCGACATTACATTTAAAATACTAATTACACTCCAAAATATTGAATTTCAACTCATCACATTGACAATCAAATAGATTAGTTCTTCGTCTATGTATTCAGCCATTCGACTTGCCATAAACCTTCCTAGTTAACTTGCCTAATAGCCATGAGAACTGTTTCCTGATTAGCTTTTCCACTGGTACAATGTTGCGTGTAGTAATGTTGTGTTCGAAGGTGTTCATCACCAACCTTACAAGTTGTCAAATTTCATTGACATTGTACTTTTCAGATTTCTCATGTTTGAAGGTAGATCGAAGTTTATTTGTCAATAGATTTCCACTTGGTTCCACAGCCCATAGTGCGGAACCAAGTGGGAATCCATTGACAGATAAACTTCGATCTACCTTCAAACATGAGAAATCTGAAAAGTACAATGTCAATGAATTGACAACTTGTAAGGTTGGTGATGAACACCTTCGAACACAACATTACCACACGCAACATTGTAGCAGTGGAAAAGCTAATCAAGAAACAATTCTCAGGGCTATTAGGCAAGTTAACTAGGAAGGTTTATGGCAAGTCCAATGGCTGAATACAAAGACAAAGAACTAATCTGTTTGTTTGTCAATGTGTCGAGTTGAAATTCAATATTTTGGAATGTAATTAGTATTTTAAATGTAATGTCGAGATTTCTGGGAGCAGGTTATCCCCTTGAAGCTGCCTCTAGTAAGGTTTGAACACTAAGATTTACGATGCTGCAAATGCAACAGTAGTGTAAATATTGATAATAAAAAAAAAACATTGCCATATGAATTTTACTGAAAAGTTTGTAAATTAAAAAAAAAAAAAAAACTAATATGATGCAAATGGAAATAATTAATAAAAGAGAACTAGTCGCATTTGACTTCTACTGGAGAAACTAGTCTCGTTAAATTTTACAAATAAGTTCATGAATTGAAAAAAACTAGTCCTATTTAAATTTTATGGGACAAATAGATCCATTTGAATTTTATAGAAAAGTCCGTGAATTAAAAAACTATGATGCTACCAATGGATTGAACACTAATAATTAATAATTAACAGAAAAGAGCTTCACAGAAAAGTACAAATCCATAACCAACAAAAGATTTTGAAGAAAACAATATGAGTAAGAAAATGAAATAAGGTTTGGTAAAAATGAAATAGGGTTGTTACCAAACTTGGAAGAAATTGTAGATGTAGTCTTCCAAGAGATTAGAGATCCTTGTCTTGTTTTTCCATTTTTCTATCTAAGTTTGCAGAATGCTTGGGTTTGGAGATCTCACCCACAACTTGCATGACACGATGAGAATGTGAGACTCTCTCCCTTCTCAGTTCATCATCATCTTCCTCTTCCATTACAAACACCTCATTTGCACCATCCTCGAGATTGAACAATTCTTCATCTTCCTCAAACAATTTTTTCTCTTGTTCATCGATTTTCTAACAATCTCCTTGAATAAGACATTGTAAGAATGAACGAGGATTCTAAGTTAATTTGAGTTTGGTGTATGACTTAGGAGGGATGTAGGGCTTATATGGACAAAAAAGAAAGGATGGGGTTGTAGATAATGTCACGTGTCATGACGTGATTAGTTAAAAAATTTATCAAAATCTATTCTAAAGGATTCTAAATAGATAGTGACACATAGCGCGACAAGATTAGTTCAAAAATCTTATCAAAGTCTTACAAAATAATGACACGTGGCACTACATAATTGGTTAAAATTATACTTAAAAATCTATCCACTAAAATTGTACTTTCGGATAATGACACGTTGCGTGACAGGATGGGTTAAAAATCATATCTGAAATTAAAAATAAAATTATTTCTTTATTATTTTATAATAAAAAATTAATAATAGTTTAATATGAATTCACTATGCTATTCAATTTATGGATGAATATGTACTTGGAAAGTTATTATTCATTGCAATCAATTACTATTCATTTGGGTAGATTGAATTGACTATTGCTTTGGGATTTTTAGAGATGGACTTGCTCTTAGTTTAGATAATATCGAATATATTAAAAAACATGGAAATATTAAATCAAATTATTAAAGTTAAAACCCACGTAAAAAGGATATACACTCCGTTATAAGTGAGTTTCTCTCCCCAACAAGATCCTGAAAAACATTCAAAGTCCGTTCTCATCTCAATTTCAAGATTACAAAGCTAATATCTAACCTTTTTTTAATGAAAACAAAGGGCAAGAGCATTATGATTCATAAATAGAGCATACAGAAAAGTACAAAGAGTAAGATGGCAACCAAAAAAATTGGGCCCAATAAGAAGAGACTTTAATTTCTAAGTAGTCTTTTTTCTCTTAATTTCTAAATCCTATGATGCTGTTCTTGTGTACTCCAAAGCTTTAAACAAATGACCAGTTGATGAACATGAAGCAGATGAAGTGAGCAGTTTCTTCTTCATTCAGCACCTTCCATGCTACTGCTCTCTCGTACGAGATCGGCCTTCCCATGCTTGACATGCATATTCCTCCTTGAAGACACATAAAACCCTGCAGCCCCCAGTATTTGAGTAACGAAAAGGTTAATTAATCGCCAATTTCAAAAGTACCGAAAATCTTAGTTCATACGAATGTTAGCTGGACTTCAAAGTAGTATACCTGCTGCATTATCTGCGGGAACTCGGAGCGTAGTGTCTTCCTTCCATTGTCATCGAAAATCTTTTCCAGCGTAATGTCTTGAAGTACAACTAACGTCGTCTCAAGCATGTCCAGGCTTGCCTGGTTTGCGAATGACGAATGTAAAAACTGGCATTGCCTGCATAAATCATGCAATTAGATTATGGTAGGGGTGCAAGGGGAGGAGCCAGATTGTTACAGAAGGCATGAAGTTAAATGCTTCATCGTATTATAAAAGCAAAGATGAACGGTAAGCAATTTACTTTCATAGACCAACATAATATTGCATCCAGGTGATGCCACAGGGATTTGAGAATGGACTCGCTTCCTTCGGTTTTTAGTAGTTCTACACCTGGATAGTGTTGGATAAATATCAACAATCAATAATAAATTTATAGATACTAATAAATAATAAATGTGAACAACTACGGACGTCCGCAGAAGAAGAATTTGATATATTAATTATCAATTCATTAGTACACCCCAAAGTTCAAACCCAAGATTGAGCCCAATTTTATTCTCTATTGTTCATCACTCTAATCACTTTCTATAAAGGACAAAGCTTTATAAAGTAAATGAATTTTTTGGTAGTAACTAATGTGAGACAATAAAATTCTACTCTAAATTTCCAACCGATAGCACCTAACAAGATCAAGATTAATTGGCACATAGCAATCACTTTTGTCCAATTCTATAACGAACGATTGATGGCAGGATCCGGCAACAAGTGTCATACTAACATTACCACTTTCAAAAAAAAGTGTCCCTCCCAGGCCTTGGAATAATAGCATTTTCAATCAATCTATTACCTAAAAATATATAAGAAAATTAACGAAAAATTTAAAAAAAGCTTCTCTTTTAATGAAATATTATTTTCAAAAGGTATAATAAATAGTACCAGAAAAATATATAAATGTGATTTCTCGTTAAAAGTGAACAGTACCAGAAATGTTTTGTTAAACCTTCTAAAATATATATATATGTTACTTTGGGAGAGCCCATTGTAAATCCACCTACTTCTTAGGCCAGTAGGGTCCTTCAAATCTTTTAAAGAGAGAAAAAAACAAGAGAGCTAAAAGCTTAAAAGTGAAATGAGATGCACAGGCGTTGGCAAGAGAATAAAGGGATATAATTGACAGTGTAACCGTCTCCCCCAAGTCGCCCCTGCCGCATCTCTCTGCACATATCACAACGCCCGCAATCAAGAGGTTTAGTCGATGGGATGACAAAGAATACTATTTCGTCCAGCACCAGTCCAAACAAAGAGGGGGTAGGATTGTCTCCCCCTTTTTTTATCCCTCCTCTCCTATATGAACCGTTACGGTTAAACCACATCAACATTTTATATTAATTTTTTATAGAAAGAAAGACAAAATAAAGAATATGAGAAGAGAGGATGGAAAAAGGAAGAGAGAGAATCCTAGTACAACAAAAAGTTGGCATCCTCGAAACCAAACCAAGCAGACCAAAGGGCCGCCTGTGAGGTAGACTTGACGACTTGGCTAAGACTTCTGCCGCTGCCGCCACTGCTGTTTTCAAATATCACAGGTCGTCGCTTCTCCAATGACTTGTCCCAATAAGAAGGCTTAGTCCAGGGGCAGCAGAAGTATTCTACTTCTTCCAGCAGCAGAAGAAACAAAGAGAGGGCTTCCATGATTCTAACCCAAACAAACCAAAGAGACGGCTGTGAGCCAGACTTCACGACATGGCTTTCGCTGCTCCTGCTGTTTTCAGATATCCCACCTGCTACAAGAGACACACCAAATGAAGAATTAATACACAAAGCACACAATGAAAAACGACTATTCATTGCTGGGACCTAACATCAAGTTCCTTCATAGATGTAGCAACGGCTACTAAAAAAAGTATATACGTACCACTACTTGGTTTGTTTCTCTTCGTTGTTGGTACTGTGAAGGTGTTCCTCAAGTCAACGAGCCTAAGGTCAGAAATGCACCTAAGAAAGCAATCAATGGAGGCCATGATGATGGAAACACTACAAGGGGAAACGGTGGCCATCGAACGGGAAAAGGCGGTCCTAAAAGAGGAAACATCGGCCCTAGGAGTCGGAGAAGAAGGTCCTTAAAGCTAAAAAAGCGGCCCTAGAAGAGGAAAAGGCAACTTTAGAAGCGAAAAAGAGGCCCTAGAAGGGGAGAATGACCAACCACAAAAATTCATCACAGAGGCCAACAATCAAGTACTATATTTCATATAATTTCCCTAAAATCCAAATTCTATAAATTAGAACCAAGTATTTTTTATCTGTATTGTGTGTATATATATCTTAGTGGTTAGTATCATGTTCAATTGTAACTTCTAGGTTTGTTCATACCATACACAATACTAGAAGAGGAACATCAACTCAATCAACTAAGAACTGCCCAAATTGAATGGATACCAGAAACCAACAGCAACAACGCAAAAACAATGAAATACATAGTGATTGAATACAACGACAAAAAATTCCACAAGGCCTACCGCACATTTTCCACCACTACCAGGATAGACCACCAAATCCTACTTAAACCAAGACTTATCAAGCACGACAAGTTGACAAACAAATGGATGTTGTTCTATGATGAGTTCACACCCATTTCAAGTTTGAAAGCTATAGCCTTTGCACATCAAGAATGATTATAGTAGTAGGTGACCTAAACACAATTGAAAGGTACGCAATTTAAGATGGTAGGATAAAGCTCAAAGGCATGAAAAAGCCCTTATACCTCACTGATGAAAGGTTGTTCACAGATTTTAGTGATTACACCATTTTCTATACGTGAACAACTTTTCATCAGTGAGGTATAAGGGCTTCTTCATGCCTTTAAGCTTTATCCTACCATCTTGAATTGCATACCCTTCGATTGTGTTTAGGTCACCTACTACTAATCATTCTTGATGTGCAAAGGCTATAGCTTTCAGATGAGTTTTGATAGTACTCCTTATATTTTCTTTTTCTCCATTCATGATCACTTGAAGTTCCTTCCAACTTGAAATGGGTGTGAACTCATCATAGAATAACATCCATTTGTTTGTCAACTTGTCGTGCTTGATAAGTCTTGGTTTAAGTAGGATTTGGTGGTCTATCCTGGTAGTGGTGGAAATTGTGCGGTAGGCCTTGTGGAATTTTTTGTCATTGTGTTCAATCACTGTGTATTTCTGACCTTAGTTGACTTGAGGAACACCCTCACAGTACCAACAACAAAGAGAAACAAAGCTACTACTGTCCTCAATATCGACAGCAGGTTATCCCCCCTTGAAGCTGCCTCCAGTAAGGTTTGGACACTAATAATTACGATACTGCAAATGCAACCGTAGTGTACATATTGATGCCATACAAGTTTCACTGAAAAGTTTGTGAATTAAAAAGCCAGCCGCTGCAAATGGAAATATTAAAAGAGAACTGGTCCCATTTGACTTCTACCGGAGAACTATCTCGTTGAATTTTACAGGTAAGTCATGAATTGAAAATGAACTAGCCCTATTTGAATTTTACAGGACAAATAGACCCATTTGAATTTTGGTGGATTAAAAAACTATGAAGCTGTTGAACGCTAATAATTAATAGAAAAGAATTTCACAGAAAAGTACAAATCCATGACCAACAAAAGATTTTCAAGCAAACAAAATGGGTGACAAGATGACATGGGGTTTGTTGAATTAGTGTTTTAGCAAAGGTGGAAGAAAGTGGAGTTGTAGGGGGACAACGATGCGGGGGCTGATGGAGTAATGGTGGTGGACGTGGCGGGGGTAGGTGCGGCGACTGGATTTCTAACATTGGAGGCGGTCCTGGCGCTGGATGGATTCTTGGTTTGGTGCTTCATTCGTCCTGTAGTGTGGTGAATTCACTGAATAGTCACTGCCCCTTCTTGTCTGAAATCCCCTGGGTGTACTTGCTCTTGTTCCTCTCTATTGGACCCTCTTAGACAAATGGGCCCCGTCTAAACTCTCTTACACTTGGGCTTTTTCTTTTTAATAAAATTGTATAATAACGTGATTATATTTTATAGTGTACCTTGAAAAATGGGTTTGAAACATGTAGTGCATTATCTTATGTTCAAAACACATCGAAAAATCTCATTTTTACTTCACATTCTTGGATCATTTTCAAAGACAATGTGAAGTGTTGAGGACTGATGTGGTAATTTGAAGTTTTATATCAAATTTTGTATTTTTTTTACTAAACTGATAAATGTTATTTTCATATTTATACATGGCTTTAAATAGTTGTATTTATTAAAAAAAAAACTGTTGGAACAAAATTTTTGTTGGTTGAAATGTTAGTAGACTTAGGGACTCACCATTAAAATTAATTAAAAAAAAATTATGACATTGGCAAATGTCAAATTTAACTCCTAATCACAAAGGCTTCAAATTCAGGCAACATTGGAAGGTTTTTATTTATTTTTTTAATTGTCAAATACGCACGGTGATATCTCCACTTAGGATTTGACATTTTTTTATGGAGATGGTCTTAGGTATCATTCTCATCAAGGTAAATTTGAACCAAATTTTGTAGCTAGGCGATTGTGAGGCTAGAGCCCACTTCCTGACCCTTTAGTTTGGATAATATCAAGGGTGCGTTTGTTGCACCGGACTGTCTTGAACTGGATTAGCTTCAGGGATTAAGCTGGACTGGCTTAGACTAGACTAAGCTAGGCTAGTTTAGTGAAGCGTTTGGTGTAGTGTCGGACTAAGAAGTAGGATAATAAGAAAAATGAAAAAAAAAACCCATGATATATTACAAAATATTTTATTTTCTTCAACTTCAATTCCAACCAAATATTAACGTTATTCCTGTTAAACATTCCATCTTCTCCATGTTCAAAGTATGTTGGTGTCACTCAAATACCGTATTTAATCCAACCTCCTTCTTCTAGCAATTGCCACTAGTGCCATCTACCATACTAGATATTGCAAATTCTTGAGATTTCAGAACCAACAATTGATAATTTGTTTCACAGTTAAACAAAAACCCATCCACAACAAAGCAATCCATCACAATTTTTCCCCAAAAATATCAAATTTACACAAAAGAATCAATGTGGGTTTTGCGAATAAGGAAATATACCAACGAGAACAAATAATACAAAAGACATACATCAAATCTAGCAAAAACATATACATACATATATGTGTGCGTGTATGTACATGTGTGTATATATATATACACATATATATACAAACCCAGAAAATGGGGCTTTCTATAATCTCAACTTAAATTAGAAAGAACCACCATTGCAAACACCATTAAACCAAACGGAACATATTCAAAAAGCTGAAATTCATATTATATTACCAAAAAAATAAGCAAATATGAGGAAGATTGAGGATATATGGCATTACATCTTTCCATCTGAAAATATCAGTTCTTCGTGCCTAGATGGACTTCGCGACCATCATCATCTGAATTCAACCTCCTTCTGAGCGAGCTGACGCAGTGCTACGGCGGTGGTAGCCATCGTCGAGACTGAGATAGAGAGAGCGGGAGATGACCTTGGGAAATGGAGTGGGGTGGCGCCGGCATCGATCTAGGCCACAAATCGAATCGACCCATTGGTGGGTGCTAATTCGATTTTGGGATTTAGGGGTGGGTGGTAATGAGATAGAGCAGGGAGAGAAAAGAAGATCCATGCAAGGAAGGAGTGGAGGATTTGACGTCGAGGTCGTTGATCACGATGAGTAGTGAACAGACAAAGCAGACGAAGGAAAGGCTTAGTAGTCCGCTGCATTTTGGGGGTTTCGCTAAGAACCTCTAACGAGGTCTCTAGTCGAGGCGAATCCCGTTTAATCCCACTAAAACTAGTCCCTGGGATTACCAAACACAGGACTACACTAATTTTTAATGTAGTCCAATCCAGTGAAGGCTAGTGAACCCAAACAAACACCCTCCAAATGTATTAAAAAAAAAAAACATGAATATCTTGTATCAAATTATGAAAGCTAGAAGCCATGTAAAAAGGGTATACAACGGCTTGCTTAAGATTTCTTCTTATAGAACATTTTGTTTATATGCACTTTTCGAGATAAAAGAGATTTGTATGAAAGCGTTTGTAAAATATTTCAAAGCGTTTTCGATTAAATTGAATAGAATTGTGACTTTTCAAAAACTATGGCAAAGCAGTTTTAGTTGGATAATATCAAATGTATTAAATAAACGTGAATATCTTGAACCAAATTATTAAAGTTAGAACTCACGTAAAAATAATATACACCCCGTCGGTTGTAAGTGAGTTTCTCTTCCCAGTGAGATCCTAAAAAACATTCAAAGTCCAGTTCTTATCTCAACTCGAATATTACAAAGCTAATATGTAACCTTTTTAAGGAAGGAAAAAAAAAAAGAGGAGGGGGGGGCAGGAGCATCATGATTCATAAATAAAGCATAAAGAAAAGTACAAAGAATAAGAAGCAGCTTTAATTTCTAAGTAGTCTATCTTTTTTTGTCTTAATTTCTAAATCCTATGATGTCGTTCTTGTGTCCTCCAAAGTTCTAAACAAATGACCAGTTGATGAACATGAAGCAGATGCAGTGAGCGGTTTCTTCTTCATTCAGCACCTTCCATGCTACTGCTCTCTCGTACGAGATCGGCCTTCCCATGCTTGACATACATATTCCTCCTTGAAGACACATAAAACCCTGCAGCCCCCAGTATTTGAATAACGAAAAGGTTAATTAATCACCTATTTCTAAAGTACCGAAAAAGTAGTTCATCCGAATCGTTGCTGGACTTCAAAGTAGTATACCTGCTGCATTATCTGCGGGAACTCGGAGCAGAGTGTCTTCCTTCCATTGTCATCGAAAATCTTTTCCAGCATAATGTCTTGAAGTGCAATTAACGTCGTCTCAAGCATGTCCAGGCCTGCCTGGTTTCCGAATGTAAAAATTGGCATTGCCTGCATAAATCATGCAAGTAGATTATGGAAAAGGGAGGAACCAAATTGTTAAAAAAGGCATGAACTTAAATGCTTCATAATATTATAAAAGCAAAGATGAATGGTAAGCAATTTACCTTCAAAGAGCAGCATAAGATTGCATCCTGGTGATGCCAAAGGGATTTGAGAATGGACTCGCTTCCTTCGGTTTTTAGTAGTTCTCCACCTAGATAACACCTGAAAAGATCAAGATTAATTAAGCATATGGCATTCACTTTTGTCCAATTCTATGACGAACGATTGATGGCAGGATCCGGCAACAAGTGGTACTATCATTACCATATTCAAAACAAATAACCAATCTCCTTTGTAAGATAAGAACTTGCACTATACGCACCTATAGCTCTGACAAATCCAACCGGCAAGTGTTTGTGCTTCGGGAGTGCCAGGTGGAGGCCGGAAACCAGCATGAGAACCAAAACGAGAAGGGGAGAGCGCCAGTGCCACCCTCTGCACTGATGCTATGATACTGCGCACATACTGCCGAGCCATGGAGGCTACACTTTCTTGGAGGTGAATTTCAAATGCAAACTGGAATGCTATTGTCATTACAGACTTTGTATTGCCAGAGTGGCCAGCATTATCACCAGAAGCTCTGCTTCCTGCGGGTCCAACTTCAAGAGCTGAGGCAAGATCAAGCGTACGGTTTGGACTGGGAGTATCCTGCACA